CTAGCCTGCAAAAATGACTTAAACTGAACTGAACAAAAGAACAAACTTATAAAAAAAAGAAATAAATATAAAGAGAATATAAAATATATAACAATTTTTTTTATTGAGATAAAATATTCATAAATAGTCTATGAATAAAACTAATAACTTAAATATACCCCACTTCACCCATCTGAGACTGTGCGTCATTTGAATTATGAATAAACGTTGTAGTTTATCTGAAATAAGTGCTGTTTCAATGTACTCACCACAATGTTGTTCCAGACCAAAAGTACACGACTTTCTGAAAGACGGCGCCCACTGACAATGTAGTCAGTGTAGTCTATATTTCTAGTCATTAACATAAACTCTGACACAACATGATTAGTATTTTGGGGCTTTTTTTTTTGCACATCATTCCCTCATAGCAAACTAGCGGTAAGAGGGGCATGGTTGAGAATATTGTGAATGAAGTCTTCATCTGATGTCAACAGAGAAGTACCATCACCACCTTTGTTTTAAGGTAAGGGTTGCAAACGATTTATATGAGTTGATTTTAAACAAACAACAGGATGATGAGAAAAGGATAATCTTTGATCCATGCTGAGATTGATTGGAAGTTATAAATCCGAATCCTTCAATTTTCGTATAAGGCACACCAATAATCACCAGTTTATCTTCATAATCACTAATAATTGTTTTTTTTATAACTTAATAACTGCCAATTAAAGCTATTCCACAGCAAATCACAGGTCTATAATATTCAGATTCTAGAAGAGATGAACCAAACAGACCGATAAACATGAAGCAAATGGGTACATGGGTTTATCCAAGGCCACTTGCCTCCATTTAGAAGAGGAATGGCATGATCAGTCCGGAGCGAGAGCGAGAGAGAGAGAGAGCGAGAGAGAGAAAGAGAGCGAGAGAGAGAGAGAGCGAGAGAGAGAGAGAGAGAGAGAGAGAGAGAGAGAGAGAGAGAGTGTATCTGATTCTGAAATGATTAAAGATAAGTTTCCCCCGGCCTGAACGCTCATTGCCCCTTATTTCTCCCACAAGACCTCTGGACTCATCCGTTCCTTCCCTGTGGTGCTGCTTGTCTGCTGCACCACAGCAATAATTCAAAAACACAGAGCTGGAGAGAAGACCCGGAGAATGACTTTAAGTATGAAGTGGCTGTGCAGGAGAAAAAAAATGGAGAACAGCAGGTAAACAACCAAAGTCATGGCTACAGTTTACAGAGAACACCTTCAATGTTTTGTAAAACTAATAAAAACAAAAGGCTTAAATAAATAAAACTAAGAAATTGCTTGTGAATTTTACAATCAGCCTCAAAAGGAATAACACATTTGAGTTAAATGTCACATTCTGAGGTAGACAAACTTTAAAAGTGTTTTCTCATGAAGCGTACTCCCAAAATCATTTTGACAATGTGATCAAAAGCGGGTAGACTTTGGATGGCGTGAGATGATTCCCCGTGGCCAGACTCGGGCTTGGTTTTTTTTTCCACACTCGCCGCCGCTGTTGGCTGTGGCCTGTTTTCTGAAACATCAGCTCTACAGATCAGCCCGTTTCAATGAGTCAGAAATATTTAAAAGAAATCAGAGCTCACGAAGCCAACGGCAACCACAACACTCCGCAAAAACATTATCATATATGCAAATAAATCTCTCATTCTCCCTCTGTTCCTGTTGTTCTTTAGTTGACCTCATTTATTTTCCTTTCTTGTTCTAGCTCTCATTAGGTGAATCTCACCAAAACTGTTGTTATCATGACCTTTTACAAATGATGACTGTATATTCATGACAGTGAAGCACATTTAAACCCAGCCTCCCAAAATGTCAGTTATAAACATGGTTATTAGAAATATTTAACTACTGTACCTTTATTTCTGCATTGTTCATGATACATTTTACTTTTCATATCACGTTAACAAGAGACACTATAAGGGATGTACAGTAGCTTATTTGTTTATCCAGTTTTCTCTAGTTTATTAAAGATCCCTTGACGTGCTTTGAGATATGCATTTTTATTCAGTGTTTGATGTAACACAAAGAGAGGGTGGGACATAGTGGAGCTCCTCCCCTTAAAAAAACAACCAATAGTGTTTGGTTTTTCACCATTCTGGAGTGGTTAAGCTCTAGTGCATCAAATGAAAAGCAAATGAGAAGCGTATTAAAGTGGCGGGTCAAATACTAGAGCGGTTATGATTTGATGAGAAACTGAAATATGAGGTGACGTCAATAAAACCATTGATCCGTTCAGGCAGAAGTGACAGACTGCTACCTTTACATGTTTATATCGGTTTTATATCTTCCAAATATGAATTTTGTCACCGTTTTGGAGCGCACTAGCTTATAGATATCTTAAAAATGAACAATTCTGATGCTAACATCTAAAAATATATATTGTACAGGACCTTTACAGCTGAGTGGCTTGAAAATGTGCTTGTGAATACATTTTTGTAAAGTGAATTTGATTTCTACTTTATATTAAGTGGCCTTAACTAATTTGTACTTAGAATGAAAATAATAATTTGTTACAATGTACTTATTGTGTAAATACATATTTTTACAATGTACTTATGATTGATTAAATACCTGCATGTAATTACATCTGTTTTCTTTCTGTAAATACATTTGTCATTACACTTTTGACTATACCTTACACCTTATCCCATTTAAAACTACCCATACCACCAAACCTGTCCATAAACATACCCGTATCCCCCAAGAACAACAGAAGTGTTCTGCAATACATGAACACATTAGGTACATTGCATTTATTTTTTTGATGCAAGTAAATAGTAGTTAAAGTTACCTAATAGTAAGACCTGATGTTGTGTTGACCACTTTTTGAGTTAAATGTCTGCTAAACACTGTGCTCAGTTAAATGTGATTGTAAAAGAAGGTAATTGTTGATTCTTGTACATATAAACAAAGTTTAGACATGAAATGTCAGACGAATGGTTGTTAAAAAAGAAATGTGCAACCAAAAAAGAAAATTTACCATTTACTATACCTCAAGCACTTCCAAACCCTTATTGAGTTTCTTTATTCTGTTGAACGCAAAATCTGCTATTTTGAAAAAAAGTGGAAAACCAATACTCTTTGACATCCATAACAGGGAAAACAAATACTGTGGAAGTCAATCATTACAGCTTTCTTCAAAATATCTAAATAACAGGTTTGGAACAAGTGAACGATCAGTAAATGTCCATTTAAATCACCTGTCTTCTCCATTCTGATGATTAGACATTTCTGTCAACAAGCAGTTGAAGAGGAAAAGTAACCAGTAAGTGTATACAAATTTCAAGAGATCACACTTAGCTGATTATTGATTATAAAGTGTGCTTTGGCATGCTGTCTCAGAGTCAGGAGAGAGCCCTGAGCTCAGAAGATCCTTAAGCCTGGGGATTCCTCCGATTTTATTGGGAGAGAGGGAAGTCTGAGCTTAGCTTCCCTGAATTTGTTTCTTCTGCCTATTCCTTGGTTATTAGGGGTTGCCACGATGGAATGAACCGCCAGTTATACAGCATATGTTTATGAGGTGAATGGGCAGTATTAAAACCACTCATATACTGTGCCAATTTAGTTTGTTTAATTCACTTATACTAAATGTCTTTGGACTGTGGTAGGAAACCCAGGGGAGTACCCAGGGAAACACACGCAAGCACGAGGAGAACATGTTGACTTCACTCATATGAGTGGATTCTTTAAGGCGAAGGTAAGAAAATCTGGTTGTTTATATACATTTTGATTGGTAAATGATATGATAGCTAATGCGAGACCGGCCGTAGTCAATCATAAGCATGTGATCCTCTCGAAATTAGTTTATAAATAAGCTTCAATTGGTACCGGGCCGCATAAGGAATTATTAATTATTTCTGTTGTTTTTGAGTCTGAATGATCTTTTATTTAGAAAATCTTTTATTTTAAAAATGACCGCATTCTATCGCTTGCATCCCAAATTGAACCCACAAGCGACAAAATGAGTTATAAACAGACATCTTTAGAAAGATTCTTTGCTGAGGGGAAAAGGCCCAGTGACGAACCCATGAACTGCCAAAGATACCTATTTGTCAATAAATCAGGTGAAACCAGTATGTCGGTGCAAAAAGATCAACTGCTGGAGATCATGAATGACGGCAGCCTTTTAAAGGCAGTTTGCATATCGCGTCTTTTATAGAGTTTGCGTAAGTTTTTTTATTTTCAACGGAGGTGCGCTGCCTGTGCAATGCACCCAGTTGAATGAATGCACTACTAGTCACGAGACAAGAACTGACCGATCAGCTTCAGCTTGTATGGACTATACACATATCGGTAGACTAATTATCTCGGACATACACAAAATACCAAACACCGCAGTGCTTAGTCATTTTCTCCATAAATAAAACTTGTATCAGAGTGACAGCAATGTTTTGTCAGCTTGTCATCCTCTGAGAAAACAGTTGATAGTCGACTAGCAACCTACGAACCACTGCCCCCTGTCCACAGTAAAATTGTCAAGTGTTGACCGGTCCACTGTGATAAAAAGGTTGGGTACCACTGCTCTATAAAATGCTGGGTTATTTAAACCCAAATAGGGCAAAATATGGACTAACCCAAACATTGGGCTAAATTTGGTCTTTCTAATTTAATTGAAAAAATAAACCAGGAGTTAGGTTGGCCCATTTTACACAAGAATTGCTTTGCAATAGCCCTCATTTTTTAGAGTGTACACTATTGACTCTTTTGTGAGTCCATATTTCTTGTTCCTTCCTCTCCGTGATCCTTCCATTGCGTTAATCCCCTGCTGCTTTCTGCCCATCATCTCAGCCAAACCCCAAAAGAGCGCTGTACGCTTGCCACACACACGCACAGATCTGTGCCCTGCTGTCTCAGTAAACACTGCTGCAGTCATCTGTTGAACCATAAGATTTGGTTTTCAGTTTGGGAGAGATGGAAAGAGAGAGACGCAATGAATAACAGGCGCACTAAAAAAAAAAAAAAAAAAAAGAGAGAGCAGATTGCAGGTTGTGGAGACAGTGAGAGCAGGTAAACATATGGCTGAAACAGAAAGAGACAGAAACAGGGGGAAACGACAGGAATATTTTTGAACAGTGAGAACAAAACATGGGACAAAGGAGGGAGAAGGTGTCAATGACAGAGAGGAAAAGAGAGAGGGGGGCGAGCCAGCAAACGAGATACGCTCATTCGCTCACGAGACAAACTGAGTGAGAGAGAGAGAGAGAGAGAGAGAGAGGGAGAGGGAGGGAGGGAGAAAGAGAGAAGGAGCGCAAGCAACTATCATTCGTTCCTGACTCCACACGGGAACACACCATCCCTGGAACACGGCTGGGAACGGAGGAACGGGAATGCACTGGGACGAAAAAACTGAGGAGAATAAAGATTACCTGCCATCTGTTGGTCTTCCTCACTCATCTGTCATCATCCACTGTCACTTTTTCTCTTTTTTTTCTGAGGAGAACTTCTTCAGAGCCTCCAGTGAAAACACATACATATAGAGATATATCTATAACAATCCTATACATATATCAATATACAGTATGCCTGTTTTCATAAACAGCGTATGGGTAAGCCGATGGATTCAGATTCTACGCTTCAGAAGCATTTCCTCGGTTGTAGGAAGCTGATCTGTTGCATTCTGAGACGTGTGCATCTGCAACCGTGCTTCCACATGGAGAAAGACAGGCATAGAGCTTAGATCAGGTGCTTCAGGAGCTGGATTAGGTGTGCTGTTGTGTCTTTTAACGTGTGAGTGTGTGTGTGTGAGTGTTTGTGCTTTTGTGGGGGGTTTCAAACTGGAGAAAATATGGAGCCGTAGTGCTGAGATCCTCTTTTTTTTTCTTTGTGTGCATGTGTGTGTGTGTGGTAGATTTAGAAGACAGCAAAGTCTGAAACTGCAGCAAAATGCCAGAAAACAAAAACAACAACAAGAACCCCCAACTCCCTCCCAAAAAAAGCCCAAACTAGAAAATGTGTTGTGTTGTAGCTCTGGAGACTTGTTACTTACTGGTGATTGAGTAGAAACTTTGCTTGAATAAACAGAAAGCAAACCAAATGCTGTACAGTGCATCTAGCTCAGGTTATTTCAATTTAGAGTTTGCAATTATGGACATTTGTGTCTTGTGTCTGAAATTATTCTCCTTGAGTTTGAGTTGGAAATGGGTGACTTTGGTGTCTTCTGTCTCAGATGTTTTATTATTTATTTTTGGAGGAATAAATATAGTGGATGGGTTTAAAATTATAAACTTTTGGTGTCTTTTTAGTGTCTTCAGATGTTTCTCCTAATATTTTTAGAGAAATAAACAGCAAGTGGAAGAACTAATGGAGAAAGTGAATATTGCGACTTAGATCATTTTGACTTTAATGTGAAATGAGTTAATGAGAATTGGCAGACATTGGTAACTGTTGTCATTTGTTAATAGCTAAAATGTTTTTGGGAGATATTAAAACATGTAATTTGGATATCTACATTGAATAGTTTTGATTTGGATGAGAAATTAGTTCAAGTTTATTTTAAAATTGCTTACTTTGGTGTCTTTGGTCAAATATCTTCTACAGTGTCAATGAAAAGTGAATTAAAATATGAACAGAAGAGCATATATGTCTCTAATTTGGATGATAAATGAGTTTGAGCTCATATTGAAATGGCTGACTTTGTGTGTTTGGTCTCAGATGTTTCTCCTAAAATTTCTTTGAAGAAATAAAGAAGAATAATGTGCCTAGTTGATTGCTCAGATAGTTCATCACTTTAGTTAAAATTGTAATAATTTTGGTGTTTTTTCTCAGACATTTCTCTTAAAATATATTTGGAGGAATAATCAGCAAACTTTACATTTTTTTTCGCATGGTATAGCTCAAGTCATTTTGATATGGACAACAAATTAATTTGAAATTATATTGAAATTTCAGATTTTGCTATTTAAGATCTTCTAATTTTTTGTTTAATTGAAAAAACACGCACAGATCTTACTAATAACATCCACGGCATGTAACAAGTACAAGGTTTTTATTCTGAAATTTCATACTTTGATGTCTTGCTCAAATCAGAGCACAGTTTGAGACTATTGAGATCTCTATCTCAACTCTCCTGAAGCGTCTCAGCAGCAGACGCTCTCCTTTTAATAGAGATTGTGGTCTAGGAGAGAGAATGGAGATGTTAAAGAGATCTCATTTGTGATTACTTTTTCCTGCGGGGACTGCAAGTGTGTTTGTGAGCAAGCGAGGAGTGGAGAGAGTGTGTGAACAAGACAGAATATCTGATCAAAAGTGGCCAATGTGAGATACAGCTGCATACTCACACACAGAATAGAGTTCAGCAGATCAGCACAACCACAGTTAATAAGAATTAGTGTTTCGGCCATTAATCAAAAGCAATCCACTGAAAAACAATATGTGATATTGTACATTATGAGATTTAAAAGGGATAGTACATCCAAAATGGAAAATTTGGATATAATTTATTCACCCATTTGCTTGTTCCAAACTTGTTTGAGTTTCTTCCGTCTATTGAACTCAAATGAAAATATATTATAGGTTGCTGGAAACTGGTAACTATTGGGTTTTAGCTTTTTTGAAAATATCTTTGCGTTCAACAAGAAACTCAAACAGATTTGGAACAAGTCAAAGGTAATTAGTTAAAACATTTTGGGTGAACTATCCCTTTATGGGTTAACATTTATATATATATATATATATATATATATATATATATATATATATATATATATATATATATATATATATATATATATTTATACATTTAGTAACACTTTATTTTGATGGTCCATTTGAGTATTAATAGACTGTAAGCTTAATATTTGTTGATATTGCTCCTTCAACAGACATTTAACTGACTATAAGAAACTTTGCAAGTACATGTCAACTCACACTAACCCTAACACCAACCTAACAGTCTACTTATAATCTATTAAGAATTAGTTGGCATGTAGATGCAATGTAACTTATATTCAACAAACAGACCATCAAAATCAATTGTGACAATATATTTTTAAATGTGTCCACAAGTATTGCAAACATTTATATAAAAATGACTATATTTGACTGAAAATATACATAAATTAACTAAAATAATGCCAATTCCAATAATCTTTAATCACATTTTTTTTTAAATCATGACCTAGAACTAGATTGTATGACGGCATGTTTGTTGTTTTGTCACAGGGGACCGAACTGAGCAGAAGGAAGACACCCTGATCGTGAAAAACAACAAAATCATCTGGAGGACTGAAGAACAACAGATATTCCTCTGAGAACTGAACAGTGCTAAAAGCTGAGAATGACTTGTGGAATACCTCCAAACTGTAGTGTGAGGCATCTTTTCCTCTCTGGCGTCACACAATGTTCAGTGGGACAAAGATTACGGATAAGGCTTGAGTCTAACGGCGTGATTCCTTCAGGCTTCTGAGTTGGAATTACACCAAGTGCTGTTATTTTTTTTTTCTTGGGCCACGAAACAGTTTGTCTTGGGGTGAGATCCTCGAATTTGGAGTCTCTCCAAAGGGGAGGAATCTTGCTCTCTCTCGCTCTCTCCCTGTAGTGATGACAACAGCGAGCGTGTTGTGTGCTGAAGTGCTCTCCGTCTCACTCCCTGATGGGGGCTGCTTTTCCTGTATCAGCTCGCCGGACAACAAGTCAGCATTAAACCTGCTCTAAACTTGGAGACAGAACACCTCAGCAAATTTGGTTCAATTTAACTAAACTCCACTGGTTTTAACTGTCCCCTGTGGCGCTGTTGCATCCTGGAATACACATTGAGGGATTACTCGAAGAGGATCATGGCATCCTCACACCTGTTTTTCAATTCGTTGACTGCAGTTTTGCTGTTGAGCTATGTTTCCTATGGTCAAAAATCCAACACTGCCACCACAGGTGTGCAAGCCACCAACCGGACGGCTGCGCCGTCTGGCGCCCCTGAGGTCACGCTTGCGACCCCGGGATCAGAACCGGAAGAAATTCCAGCAGCCGGGAGCCGTTGCTGGGGTTACTATGACGTGATGGGCCAATGGGATCCCCCGTTTAACTGTAACGCAGGAATCTACCTGTTCTGCTGCGGCTCCTGCTACTATCGATTTTGCTGCCAGTTTAAGGTCCACAGTCTGGATCAGACGTCTTGTTCTAACTATGACACTCCGGTGTGGGCAAATACAGGCAAGCCGGCGGCTCCGGTGACCGATGTCCAGGAGGAACCAGATCGAGATCGCACTCACATGATCGTTTATATAATATGTGGAGTGGTAGCCATCATGGTGCTGGTCGGGATCTTCACAAAACTGGGCCTGGAAAAAAGCCAAGGAGGACAGACGGACATGACCAACTCCAGGTGAGTGGGTGTGAGGATGAAGTCACTGCTCAGAGGTTGCTTGATTTGGGTGTATTTCTCAACATTGCAATAGAAGTTGCTTGTTAAATTTGGAGAAATTTTAATCAGACAACTGTTGCAGTAGAAGTTCTGAGCTATACTGTGTCTTGTGATCTTGGTACCAAACATTCATATCTCAAAGTTGTGATCATACAGACGACTTGCATCTTGCTCAATTTGTGCACAGTTTGAGATCTCTGGAAGTGTCTCAACAGATAAATCAAAGAACAAGGATTTAAGCAAATTCTCTAACTGTTTGCATGTAATCTAATTGTAAACAAGATCTGCAAAACCACAGGAGAAGCTTATTGAGTTCATTTAAAACTTTTTTTTTAAGCAGCTTGAAGACTATTTCTCATTACAACATCAGTCTGAAAATTGTTGACATTGCATTTTTAACCCTACAAAACCATAAAGCCAGCCAGCACAATATTTTAGGTGTTTGTTTAAATTTTTGGTTGGCAGGTTTGGCTTCTTTAAACCAGGCTTTGCAGGTTTGAATTCATCTGTTGTGCATCAAACACTGATCTGATCTAAAAAAGGTCAAAGACAGGATGCAATATCACAAGATGTGACCTTTAAATGAACACAAAACAAAACACACAAGATTTTTGCTATTTTATTCTTGATATTGACATCTGAAATTAAATTTCCTAGATGAAGATTTTTATTTGCTTGCTGAAGGAATTTCTGGCACTGTTTTAATTTCTTTATAAGTTGTATACTTAAAATTCTTAAAATTACACTGTGAATGCTGACTAAACCAGGACTACATGGTTTGGTCTAGAAAAACTAGGAAAAACTAAATACAAAAGAAGAAGATGCAAAGACAAGAGCTCTATCCTGAATAAGGTGCTGCTGAGAACTACTGAAAAGCTGAAGTGAGAGCTAAACATCCGAGACTATTATTTGTTATGATCAGTGGTTTGGTCTGTCTGTAACCCCGGACTAGCCCCCATTTTGTTACAGCAACCTTTTATCAAAATGTGGCACAAGTTTGATATTCCTTGATTAATTGGACCTACAGTATCAAATTGTCACTCAGTGTTAGCATACCAATGTAAACTTTGAATGATTGCTTTTAATTATTTGTATTTTTGAGAATGCTTTGACGATGGCAAAATAAGTATAAAACATTATGAGGTTGAGCACTAATGAAGAACTGCAGTGAGAGCTAAACATCCAAGACTAGTTGCGGTTATGATCAGTGGTTTGTTTGTCTGTAATCCCGGACGAGCCCCCACTTTATTACAAACACCTTTTGTCAGAAATGTGGCACTAGGTTGATATTCCTTGGTAAATTAAATGGACCTACAGTGCCAAAAAATCAATCAATTTTAGCATGCCAATATAAACATTGAGTAATTGTTTTTAATTATTTACATTTTGTGAATGCTTTGATAATGGCAAAGTTGGTATAAACCTTATGAGATTGAGAACTATGAAGAACTGCAGTGAGAGTTAAACATCTGAGATTAATAGTTGTTATGATCAGTGGTTTGTTTGTCTGTAATCCCGGACGAGCCCCCATTTTGTTACAACAACCTTTTTTCAAAATGTGGTACTAGGATGATATTCCTTGGTAGATTAAATGGACCTAGAGTACGGAAAAATTACTCAATGTAGGCATGCCAACATAAACTTTGAGTAATTGCTTTTAAATATTTGTATTAGGTTTGTATAAAACTAGCTAAACTCAATTTAATATTACTCAAAGATCCATGCTTTAATGTAGAGCTTCATTACAATGTAAAGCTATACAATACTAATTTCTAATAATAGTTTTAATATACTAATATACTAAACATTAATATATAAATTTATAATATAATTTTTAGATAATATAACTTATTTGATTCTGCAATTTTTTTTATTGTAATAACTTTTAATTGTTTAATATATTTCAAAATCCACATATGCCCTTGAGGAAATAAATCCCAGTGTTTTGAATGGGACAGCATCATCATAAACGTTAATGGTTATTTCTCAGAGCCTAGCTTTTGTTCAGATGAAAGTGTACAGTGCTAGCTGTAATCAGTGCAAAAAGAAGCAGTTTTGGTACTCCTCTCTTATGTGTTCTGACTTTATGACAGCTGTAAAAAGAGAAATAACTATTTTAAAGCACTCAAGACCATCGTAATGTAAATAAAGTTGACACTTTGGTCTCTTTTCAGTAGCGTAGCGTTGTCCTCCGGGGGAGGGAAGAGTGGGACGTCAGTTCAGCTATCTGTCTCTCATCCTTAATGTGGCATGGCAGACAGACACCATCATGATTTAATGAGGGCTATTGATAAGGGCTGGAAGCATGCCATGCCCGAGATAGAAAGTGCGCGCAAAAGGGAATGGATGATAGTTTATTTGCTGTCTGATGATTTTGGGTGGTGGGGAGGGTATAAACAAATTCTTTACAGTTTGTGATGAAATAAAATAATAGACACATGACAGAGACATATTTTTGAAAGTTTATGAGAGTTTCTTTTTGTTAAGGATGTACATTGGTTCTTGTACACACCAAGTTATCTATGTGTGTGTGTGCTTGTACAATGACAGGGCAAGTGTTAGAAGGGCAAGCTAGCGAGCTCTGTAGCCAGCTTGTTGTAATTTAACACGATTTATCATAGGAAAGCTTAATGAGGCTCGATAAATGGGTGCCAAAAGTAACAAATAAAGTGTGTACATCATAATGGCGGGACACAACATATCTAGTGTGTGTTGGGGCGAGATACAGAGGCACATAGAGGAGAGGGAGAGAGAGATTCTATTGACCAGCTCTGAGAAATCCAATGAGGCCAACATGACCGGTTTCATCCAACACAAATGACGGTCAGTATAGAGACCAACGTGCTCACACAAACACACGCATACACAAAACCCATCCAAAGCCAATGATCTTATGCATTCACAGGGTCAGAACAGTGACTGATGACTGGTGAAATGTCTAGAAACCAAAATGGCGTGCAAATGGATGTGCAATCAAAGCAAACCAACCGTGCTGGCTTGACACGCTCAGGCTTTACATTTTTTATGCATAATCTCACCTTTAATAATTACCTTGGGTGTATTTGAAGGGCATATTGCTGGTGAACGGATTTGCAAATGGCATGTTTGCTAGCGTGACTTTGCTTTTCATGTGTAAAAATCAATTCTATTCAGCATTAAATTGTGCATTTCCACCACTCCATGAGTGATGGCTGGACTGAACGCACTGCTTTCTACTTGTATTATTTTTATGTGCATGCTTGACAAGCCTGTTGGTAAATGGAGACTCAAGACAAGTGTTTGAGTGTTTGAGAGAGTATTTGTGTGCTTACCAAGTAAACATTGTAAGTCTATGCTAAGTGCTTCGTTGTTACATCCTGGCAATAGTAAAAGTGGCTCTGTGATGTTTTTTTCATCTCTGAAATGTGTGAACATGCAAATATAGCTTCACAACGAGAGGCCTGGAGAAAGAAAAGAGCATTAGAAGAATAAAAGTAAGGACAGAAACTTGCAGCTAAGTTTTTAATGAGTGTGTTGTCGGTAAAGACATATACTATACTAAAATGGTTACTATACTACACTCAAAAACGCCTAACTACATATTTAAAATGTGTTAAAAACAATTATTATGTTTTTTTTGGGATAACTTAATTGTTTTACGTTCAATACAGTCAAATTTGTAAAAATGATTAAAGGGCACATATGATAAAAATCAACTTTTGTAAGCTGTTTGGATAGAACTGTGTGTAGGTATAATGTGTCCATAGTCATATTAGGGTGATATAAAGCCAATAAGTGTCTTTTTAAAAATTTCCTGATATTAAATTAGGATCCAAATCTTTTTAATTTCGAAGCCCACTGCAACTTGTCGTAGAAGTGCGATTACCCCGCCCACCAAATTGATTGACAGCCGCTAATTAACATGTCTCCGTAGTGACACGTATAATTATGTCAAAAAGAAAGGACGTGCGCAAAGCAGCCGAGGTCAAAAGATCTGTTCAGCTCTCTGTGATCATTAATCATTATCAAATGTAATCAGGAATGAGTTTTAACAAATTTAAAACAGTGCATGTTTGTAGTAAATTCAGTAAAATCGCTTTAATACATCACCACGTCAGTAAAATATAAAAGACACTTCAATCCCAGTTTGTGGACATTAAATCAGGTATATTTTGTAAATTAACATAACAAATTAATACAGCAATAGAAATTAATGTGTATTCTGTCACATTTGTGGTGCAAAAACAGTGCAAAGTTAAACGTGCATGCTGTGTGTGTCCTCTGTGTGTGTGTGTGTGTGTCTGTGTGTATATACGTGAACTTTTTAACGACCTTATGTGTGACTCATCATTGCAGAAAGGCTTGAATTAACTCCACAAGAGATCCAACACAATCATTGGAGAATCATTCTTATTGTAGTATTTTTCACAAATGTTCACAAACGTGACATCTGCTTCCTTCATGTCTGTCACTGTGCTGTTTATCTGACGCAGCAGAGGTGGATATTGAAGCACAATCTGACGGACACGTGGGAACAGTGGGCGGGGAAAACTAGCATTGAAGGCACAGGCCACAAAAACAGCTACATTGTGTTCAGAGCAGAAAATCCCAATCTTCTGAAAGCTATATTAAATAATCTGATGCGTGTTTTGAGCTGAAACTTTACTGACACATTTTGGAGACACAAAAAACTTATCTGAATTCTTGAATAAGGGGTAAAATAGGGCCTTTTGCATTTACTTAATCAATTTGTGTTGGGACAACATGAAAGATTTCTGTGGAACCCAGAATTTTGTGTAGTATTTTGTGTAGTATTGTGTAGTATTTTTGTGTAGTTTGTACAGTGTAGTATTTTCTTTCTTAAATTTGAGCCAATATTGAGATAACTAATATCACTTTATTCTTAGAAGTCGATAAGCAATATATAGGCTTATGTAATATGTAATTGATATCATCTTTTCTGAATCTGGCTACAAAAATAA